CATCCATCCATCTATCCATCCATCCATCCATCCTCTATCCATCCATCCATACATACATACATATATCTAATAGTCCATCTATTTGTCCATTCAACCATCTAATCTTCCATCCTTGTGTTTGTCCAACCATTTAACCAACAGATACAAAATCTGACGGTGCTTTCTATATTATGAGGCTTCCTCTAGTCATGAAGAAGAACCATTGATGGATTATGAGACATTTTTTTAGGGTTTTGAGTCAGAGCTATACCTCATCTAATCCATTACAAGAGACTATCATGCTTTTAAAATGTTACATGTTTCCCAAATTGTTTTATATTACCAATGAATCCCAAGTATATGAATTAAAGGACTATACCTTATAATTTCTCCTCCATGTCATAGTTTAGCTTAAATTTCATTACATGGTACAGTCTGAATAACTACTATTGATTGAAGAAATTAACAAATGAATGCTTGGACCTTCCTTGTTAATTTACTACAATTAATAAGATTTATCATTAGATTTCTGTTCTAAACTGTGTGATTAATTTCATTTAAAGAAGAACATGAATCCATTTTTGGTTCAGTGCCAGGAACAAACCTAGGGCCTCTATCCTCATTTTTTTTGACAAGGTCTCATTATGTAGCACAGGGTGACCATGAACTCTTGATTCATCTGTTTTACTCTCCAGTGCTGGGATTATAGGTGTGTGCAACTGTGCCCATTATGTATTCTTGGCACTTTTGAAACATGAAAATGACCAGTAGATGTTAAACAATATTTGGCTCTGAACTATAATTTAAGAAGCCTTCATATAATTCTAGTCTTTGGAAGACAGAGGCAAGTGGATCTCTTGTGAACTCAAGGTCCACATAGTGAGTTCCAAGCCAGTCAGGGCCACACAATAAGATCTTGAAGGAAGGAAGAAAGAAAGGAAAGAAGGAAGGAAGGAAGGAAGGAAAGAAGGAAGAAAAAAGAAAAACAGAGAGAGAGAAAGAAGAGAAAGAAAGGAAGGAAGAAAGGGTGGGAGGGAAGGGACCTCTATATATTATATTTAGGGTTACTTTATGACTTAAGATACTATATTGATTGATGTTTTTCAAGGCTTTCTGGTATTGTATAATTTGGATGACTGCATAAAACTAAAATAAAAATCAACTCACAAACAATACAGCTTAATTCTTTGTACTTATATTTGTACTTTAAATATGTGATTCTATCTAAATAAAAGAAATTCTGAGAACCTCTAGAGAAACAGCAGCAAAATAACATCAAAGGTCATATACTTGTCTTTTTATTGCAAAACAAATTCAAAACCAGCTAGGTGTGACGGCGCATACCTTTAATCCAGCACTACGGAGGCAAAGGCAGACATTGATGAGTTTGAGACCAGTGTAGTCTCTATAGCAAGATCCAGGCAACCCAAGTCTGCACTGTGAGATCTGTCCTATCTTAGTTAGGGTTACTATTACTGCAGTGAAACACCATGACTCAAAGCAGGTTGGGGAGGAAAGGGCTTATTTGACTTATATTTTCACACCATGGTCCATCACTAAAGGAAGTCAGGACAGGAACTCAAACAGGGCAGGATCTCAGAGGAAGGAGCTGATGCAGAGCCCATGGAGGGGAGCTGCTCACTGGCTTGATCAGCCTACTTTTTTATAGAACCCAGGACCACCAGCCCAGAGATGTCACCACCCACAATGGGCTGGGCCTTCCTCACCAATTACTAATCAAGCAAATGCCTTATCCCTATATCTTATGGGGGACATTTTCGTAACTGAGGTTCCTTCCTTTCAGATGACTCTAGTTTGTGTCAAGTTGACATAAAACTAGCCAGGACACTATCTCAGAACAAGACAATAACAAAAACAACCCAAAACCCAAAATCTTTTTCTCATGATGTAGTACAGTTATGTTGTGAAAAAGCCAAGAATCTAAGCCAGAAAATAATTCTGAGATATTGTTATATATTTCATAGCATTTATATATCCTGAGTTATTTTAGGTGAATTGACAAAATGAGAAGCATCTATTAGTAGTTACCTTTCTTGTTACTGTGATAGACTGACACAGACACAGCATAAAGGAATGGTTCATTCAGGCTCATGGTTCAAGGAATGCAATTCATCTTAAGGAAGGAAGAGGTTGGAGCATCTCCTGGCTGGAGTATCAGTAGTGTGAGGCACCTGATTACTCTGCAGTAGCCTTCCAGCCAGGCTCCACCTCCTAAAGGTTACCTGCCTCTGAGAATAGCATTATCTAGTCAGAACCAGTGCCCGGACACAAGAGCCTATGTGTGACATCTTAATATAAACTTTACTGAATGACAATTTCATAGACATAAGGACATTCTGATTATTATGCTCCTTTCTAGTCTTCCTCCTGTTGGAGATATTTTACATTCAAACTAATCATATCTATGAGACATTAGGTAGTACTGAAAATTTGCAAATACCTTACAAAGTGAATGATTCACAAACAATTGAGAATTGACATTTGGTTCAGATCAGTGACTATATAGAATAAACGTCACTTTATTTAATAAATGCAAATTTTTTACATGGGTGAACTAAGATCATTACACTTGCTAAACAAACACTCTACTCTCAGACCTAAAATATTAAATTCTGATAAATTGTATGCCGTTTTTTAATTTTCTCAAAAATTTTGCATGTCTAATTTTTGTTAATAAAAAATGTAAAATATATTTAAGTTAATGAGAGAAAAATATTTCCTGTTTGAAACTAAACCACTTAAACTCTAACTAAATTCAGGGACATACATATAAAATTCTCTGATAATTTTCAATTAACATTGAAACTCCCTTCTCCTCAAAAGAGTGTTACAGACATTAAACACTCACCTAAAAGTGCATTTTTTCCATGGTCATCTGGTAGAAATCGCTTATCCACAGCACAAACTAGGATATGTTCAGGAAGATTGGGAGACTTGGCCCCGACCAGGAGGAATCCTGCTGGGATGTCAATTTGCTCCATACACAGTGACACCAAACGCAAATCCTTTCCTGCTTGACAAAAGCCTGGAAACAGAACACAGTAGAATTTTAGGGAAGGTACTCTCCTTATCCCCATCAGAAAGGAGTTATCTATGGGAATCACTTCTAAGGACTCAACACCTATGGCCTCCCAACAAGACTGATCTCTCCTCTCCTCTCTAGTTCCATCAAGATGACAACTCAAGTTTTCCGACCCACAAGTAAGGCAATCATAAACATATAGCAAACCCTGGGAAGCACATATAAACGTTGTATGCACATAGTAAGGTTCTACATTCTCTCCCCCCCCCTCCTCTCTCTCTCCCCGTGTGTGTGTGTGTGTGTGTGTGTGTGTGGTGTACTTACATGTGAGTGTGAATGTGTGTGTTGAAGAGCCTACAGAGGCTCAACTGTCAACTGTCTTCCTCAATTATAAGCTAGTTTATTTTGAGAGAGTCATTGGATCTGGAACTCATCAGTCTGGATAGGGTGGTGGTTATTAGTTCCAGGGGTCTGTACGTGTTCTCTTACTAAACCCCAGCAGGATGGGATGATGGGGCAAGCTTTGTTAACCAATCATCTAAGTGGAACCTAGTTAAGGCATGGCTACCTGGAGCCCAGGAAGAAAATCTGGGACAGCCCAGGTGCTTGCTCTCTCTGGGTGATTCCCGCAGGACACAGCAGAACTTGGGACTTCCCATTCTTGTGGCGTGAGTTTCCCCTTATAATAAGTAAAATTATAATTGTTTATCTTTAAGCTGACCTGGTTATTTCCCGAATCGAGTTAACTGATACAATGGGAGTTACAGGTTTGGGATCTGAGGGCAGGTCCTCATGCTTGGAGCAAAGCTGCTCTACCAATAGTCCATCTCCCTAGTCAAGTGTCTTCATTTTCATAATGTGATACCAAAAGTGACTTTCTTGACAATTGCGTTTTGTTACTCAAAATGTTATTTGTTTATCAAAAAAATTATTAATATGTATGAGGCATGTTACTTATTCAGTTTACAAACTCTTTTGGATTCAATGGACACATAGGATCCTCTGAAAAAAATCTGCTTCTTCTACTGCCATTAGGTGACAGGGTTCAAAGGCTTGGAAGTTGAGAATTAACAATGATGCCACTGGTGGTATGCTGGGAAACAATCTTTGTACACTGTAAATATGTATTACTCTCATTGCTAATAAAAAGCTGATTAGCCAATGACTAGGCCCTTTTTAGGGCAGAGAGAATGCTGGGAAGAAGAACGGAGTCAGAGAAGATACCATGAGCTGTAGAGTGAGCAGGATGGGAAGTACATACATGAGGTAAATGAATCTCAGGGAAGCATATAGATTAATAGAAATGGGTTAATTTGAAATGTAAGAGTTCACATATATAAAATGAAGGACACTATAGTGTCATTTCATTTGTATGTTAATAAATACAGCATGCCTGAAGATCAGAAAAGTGAAACAGCCACACTGGTCAGCCTTACAGACCAGGCAGTGGTGACACACACTTTTAAACCCAGTAGCTACACTAGTTTACCATAGAAATCAGGCAATAGTGGTGCACGCCCTTTATCCCAGAATAGAGAGGACTATAAGAAGGGAGGAGACAGCTCCCAGTCTCAGTTTTATTCTGAGGTTTCTTGGAGGCAGGATCATATTTTTGGACTGAGGTTAAGGTAAGAACCAGTGCTTTCCTTTTCTAGTTGAATCTCAATATCTGTCTCTGAGTTTTTATTAATCATGCTTCAGGACACACTGTTCAATCTGGCAAAAGACAAGCTAAGAATGGGGTACATGGTTATGATCCACTTGGGGGCAGGCATAGACTTTTTCATCAAATTCGAAAATACTTGGGGCTGGAGAGATGTGTTGGTTAAAAGTGCTTGCTGAGTTCATTTCCTAGACTGACACAGGACCCGTCACAATCACCAGTAACTCCAGCTCCAGGGGATTTGACACTATCGTCTAGTCTCAAGCACATAGAACCTCACACAGATATAAAGCATATACAATTTAAAATAAAACAAAAAATTTTAAATTATAGAATACTGATCCAGGAAGCACTTGAAAGTATTGAAAGGAGTATCAAGATTGCTCTCCAGAGAGATTAGTAGATGCTGATAATGCTAGAACACAAGTTCCCCAGGAAGTGGCATCCCTACTCTTAAGTATGACTTGATTCAAGAGTTGGGACATCAACTACCTTGGTAACCAGCGTGGATTAATCATTGATGAGAAATTTATGACTGGCTATTAATTAAACTATCTCTAGGAGCTGCCTTGGTCACTAAGGCTGGAGAAGTGAGTCTCTTCAAGTGTGACTCTATATTGGATGGAGATGGCAACCACAGCCTGTATCAATTTGCAAAATTACTGCAATGTGGTTAGAACATTATGTGGTAGAACCTTGAGGTTGGGGTTGGAGGGATGGCTTGCGGAGAGAGTGCTTGCTGCTCTTGCAGAGGATCCCAGTTTGGTTCTGTGTCACTCACAACTGTCTGTGACTCCGACTCCAGGGATCCAACACTCTATTCTGGCCTCTGTGACATCATGTGCACATATTAACACACAAGCACACATTTAAAAAAAAAATCTTAAAAGAACCAAACCTAACCTTAAGGTCATCATTACATTGTTGCTTAGCAAGTAGCTCTTATAAATTCAGGGATTAAAAAAGATTTAGGAATTATATGTGAAATTTATTTTTAAAAATTTGTTATTATTATTGTATGCGTGTGTGACGTGGGGAATGTACATGTGCCACAGCAGGTACATGGAAGCTAGGAAAGTTGGGAAACTCAGGCAAACACAGGAAGGTAGTTTTACTAATTCATCCAAATATGCTCACTGGGTATATAAAACTGAATTTCTTGCCCTTACTCATTCAGATATCTCCCTTCCAAAGGGAGACACTGGCAGCTGACGGCTGCTGGAAGAGGGAGATTCTATCTTTTGCGAGTGTGTTCTCATTGGTAGGTTTCCCATCCTCCAGCGTGTGGCTCCATGCAATGCACATACGTCAAGCACTAATTGGATGAAGTGGGTTGCCAGAGAAAAAAAAGACACGAAGTTGGGAGTGGGACACTTTGAGGAAGCTGGAGGAGGGAAATGGGAAAGTGGACACAATTGTACGTCATTGTATAAATATATATGAAGTTCAAGAATAAAGACAGCTATAATTTTAAAATTATAAAATTAGAAATAAGAATGTACTTTAGCAGTAGTACCTAAAATATGCAAGACCCTAGTTCAATTCCTAGTAACACATAGACACACACACAAACATGCAGACACACCGACATACATAAACACACACACAATCAGTGAGATTATATAAAATTTACCAATATGATTTTAGACATTAAAAAATTAATGTTTGTTTTATTTTATTTGAAGCTCACTATGTAGCTCTGATTGGCCTAGAACTTGCTACATAGATCAGGCTGGCCTTAAGCTCACAAAGATCTACCTGTCTTTGCCTTACAAGCACTGAAAATTAATGTTATAAAGATTAAAAAAATAGTAATTACGATTCAGCCTAAATTTTATCACATAGAGCAAAAATACAAAAATTGTGGAAATAAATTTCTATATTCCTTTAATCTCCAATTATAGAAATTCCATAACTTCGGCATCAAATGCAGTTTTGGGGGCCCAGAATATAGTTCGACAGGAGAGTGCTTGCCTAGTGTGCAAGTCCTGGGTTCTACAGCCAGAATGGGAGAGGAGTGGAAGAGTCGAGTTTAGATTGTTTTTTAAATGTTAAAAACATTTAAATCTATTTGTCTCTCCTAAAACAAAGTATAATCTTTTATTTTTGAATTTTCAACAACACACTTTTTTATTCATCCAACTTAAAGCTAATTAAACTACAACTATTAAATTATAAACTGTAGACAGTTGTTGTATAACATAAACATCAAAGAATATGTTAATACAGTGGTCAGTCTCCAATAAATGTTTTCTACTTAGAGCTAAAAGTTTTGTCATATGCCATGCAATGACAGAATTATTTCAAAATGCTCGGGGAGTTCAAAAGTGTCTTTTTTTTTTTTTTGATTTTTCAAGATAGGATTTCTCTGTAGCTTTGTGCCTGGAGTTCACTAAACGGAAATATGCACCCAACTAAGTCTCACTCTTTTACTGTGGGTGCTGAGAATCTGAACTTGGGTCTTCAAGCATACAGCTTTCACTCCACTGACAGAACCATCTCCCCAGTCCAGAGAGTGACTCTTGTCACTTCTCTCATGGCAAAGGTCGGTGAGGGGAAACTACTGTTTTGGTCCTTGACTAAACAGAGTTGAGAAGGCACAATGTTGATAGGAGGCCACTTGTTCGTCCTGGCCACCAGGCTAGCTTAGCTCCAAAATAACCATACAGAAACTGTATTAATTAAAACACTGCTTGGCCCATTAGCTTTAACTTCTTATTGGCTAACTCTTTTTTTTTTTTATTAAATTATAAAAGTTTCCATTTCAGCCCCTCCTCCCAACACCCTCCCACTCCCCCCACTCCCTCTCCTCCTCCCTCTCCATCCCCTAGAGCAGTCAGGGTTTCCTGCCCTGTGGGAAGTTCAAGTTCCTCCCCCCTCCCTCCAGGTCCAGGGAAGGTGAGAGTCCAAACAGACTGGAGCTTATTGGCTAACTCTTACATCCTACTTTAACCCATTTCTATTAATCTCTGTATCGCCACGTGGCAATGGCTTACTGGCTAAGTTTCGGCAGGATGTCTTACTCTAGCAGTGGATCCATGGCATCTCCCTGACTCTGCCCTTCTTCCTCCCAGCACCCAGTCCAGTCCTCTCCACCTACCTAAGTTCTGCCCTATCAGGCCAAGGCAGTTTCTTTATTCGTTACACAACAAGCAACACACAGACAGAAGGCCCTCCCACACCAGCACAATGTGGAGAGTGCCCACAGAAAGTATGGTATTTTTAAATGAAAGAATTATTATTTCAGAGTCATTTCTGGGGCACAGTGGAAACTATGTAACTCATTGAAACAAAGAAGTATGAACAGTTTTTAGTATGGCAGACTTGGGGATTTCCATTTAGGGGGGAGGATAGAGGTCAAAAGCAATAATCATTAAACAATAAATGGACTCTATAAGAAGCATACTTTCTAGTCTTCTTGGTTGAAAGCATTGGTACCTGAGACAATGAAAAGACGCTGGTCATGGAAGAAACTGCCTATGTATAGAAAAGGAACTTCAGGCTTGCACTTTCTATAAACGTAAAGGTGCTCCTAAAAATAGTCTTGAAATACTTTTCTTCAAGCTACTTGCCAATACAGCCTCAGGCAATTTAATTAAAAAGAAAGAATGGAGTGGAAAGAGAAAGCTACACAGATCATGGGGTCAGGAGGGAATCAGTTTATGGCCAAAGATGGCCACAGAATTAGAGGAAAGTTACTTAATTCAGTTTGTAGTTAGCCTAAAGATTCTAAAATTCCCCTGCCAAGGACTTAGTGTTTGACTGTAAACATTTCCTGAATATTTCCCTAAATTCTCATTGTCAGGGGTTAGCACAGCTAATTAAACACATAGATCAGAGATCCCCAAAGAAAGAAAAAAATGTTATGTTAAGAGAAATGTCTATTTTTTTTTTAACTGAAATAAACTGTGTCTTTAAGGAGTGATTAACTACAGAATCCATGAAATGTGACTGGATCTCCGGACCAACAAGATCCCAGGATCCCTCATGGCAGGCAGATAACTCTGAAAGGCTAAGTATGACCACTCCTCAGAGACCACTAGACCGCCTCAGGGCACCCTATGGAAGGCTGCACACAGGGAGGGAAGATGATTGCTTATATGGGTGGACAACTTGCTTTGCAAACTTGCTCAGGGAATGACTTTATCTGAGAACAATAATGAAAGGCTGCTCTCCCACCAACACTCTTTTGAGACAAATGATTTTAATTAAAATGGTGGTGGTGATAAAAGAGAACCCTTCTATATAAACTTCATCTGCATTTTCTTAAGAAAATAGCCAGGGTTTTCTCTTCATAGAAAGGGATTTGCATTCTCCAATTATCTCCAACTTGAAGGCACCAGAGTAAATAAAAAGGGGAAAGGGACATTTATTGACACAGCAGCAAACCCAACTGAAGCAATGAAAATAGCTTTCTGAGGCCCCAAATCTGACTGCTCTTCACCTGCATAGACAATCAACTGCTTCCCAGCAGGATGGGAACCTGCTCTAGTCCAATAATTTACATAAGAAATTAGCAAGTAAAATTTCCCTATGAATGGCAACCTCTCAGATGTTAAGTACCCGCTTATCTAAATTGCCTCTAAAAATAGCATTAGAGCCCCCTCCCCCCAAGCCTTAGGCAAACAGAGGACCAGGACTGGAAGGTGGTGTTCTCAAACAAGGCCACAGTCATTCTGTTTCCTGGGTCTCAGTGCTGCTTGTGTAAGCACATCTTCAGGGCTGCTTTCCTTTTGAGCAGGAAGATTTTTAGAACGAATGCCAAGCGAGCAGAATTGATAACATTATGTGAAATATAAAATACCAAGTTATAAACATCTTTTTATTTTAAATGCCATCTCACGGGGGGAGGGGGAGTTAAGCAGGGGTCAAGAGTAATAACAGTAGTTATAAGAACAGTTGATGTAGGAATTTGGGTACAGAATGAGTGTCTTCAGAATGTGTTGGATCTGAATCTTTTGCTTTGATGGGGAACAGTTCTTTATTCTCAGAAAAATTGCCTGCCTTTACCTTAGAATCACCATTGCCCATTGTGGCTGAGGCTGAGGTAAAAGGATCACTCCAAGTTCTATAGCTATGGCGTGAGTTAAAGGTCAGCTGGGTTAGAGTGAGATCCTGACAGATATGTAGAGTGCATCCTGACTTCATGGAGTTCTTGTTGTTGTTGTTTTGTTTATTTGTTTTCTTTGAGACACTATGTAGCTGTGACTATCCTGGAATATATGATATATGTCAAGCTGTCCTCAAACTCACAGAGATTCACCTGTGATCTCTCAGATCTCCTCTGAGAGATCTCAGAGATCCTCTGCCTCTCAAGTGTTGCAATTAAAGGCATATTATTGTTAGGTCATCAAGTTTATAATTTGGTACCTACAAAATACCTGGCTATAAATAACATCACCATCGAACTGAAAACATACTCCAGGTACAGAAGAACAGGGAAAACCTCCTGCCCACACTCTAGTTCTATTTAATTATTGTAAATGGAGACTGCTCTTTCATTTGTGGTTATCCAGACCTGAATAATCACACAGAAATCGTACTAATTATAACACTGCTTGACCAATATCTTAGATGTATTCCTACTTAGCTCTTGTACCTTAAATTAATCCATTTCTATTAATCTGTGTATTGCCACCAGGCTGTGACTTACCGGAAAGTTCTGGCATCTTTCTCCTTTGGCAGCTACCTAGCATCTCTTTGATTCTGCATACTCTCTCTATATATCTCTTCCAGCCTGGCTATATTCTGCCCTGCCATAGGCCAAAGCAGCAACATATATACAGAAGAACATCCCACATCCAATTATCACATGTAATTAGATTCTCAATGAGACACCATCATTTTAAGCACTGTTCAATGTTATTTGTTACTGGATGAGCTCAGTTGAAGAAAACGTAACAAGAATACGAATCAAGTAAACAGCAACACACAGCTTCACTGTCCGCATTCACATGGGTTTAAAGGCATACGGTACATCAGTAATGAGTAAACACTGTGCATCATGTTACGTCTGAGCAAAAGGGTCAACCATATGTGAAAGCAAACCCATAGAAATGATGTGTTGTGGGCAGGCCTAACATGAAGAACACAATGGACATGTCTTCTAGGGATACGTGTGAACCATAGGAGAATTCTTTAGGTCTCCTTTCCCTCCCTCTAACTAGAGGAGCTGGAGTCCTCTATGGGTTGTCAGATTCTCAGGCAAGTAGGAAACCAAAAGAAAATAAATTTCTGAACAAGGCCAACTATTTTTCTGACTTCATCTGGATAAGGCTTTAATTTATATCAAATGACTTGTTCTATAAGCTTTGTCAGGAAATTGTCCTGAGATCTGGAACCTTCTTTCTCCCCTCCCTGTCTTCTCAAGGTTTTCATGCTCTGACACCATGCAGGCTAATATCAGTCAGCTGGAATGTAAAAAACACACTCCATATACTATGTGGGCAATCAGAACACAGCTACTAGGTAAGGGGAAGAAAGCAGACTTTAAGTTGGGATATCACTGAAACCACAAAACAATAAAAACATTAGAAACCATGGTTTCCTTATTTAAAATGTGGTTAAAGTATGGTGGGAGATACAGCTAACATGCACAAACAGAATGAGACCATCAGCTGGCGAGGCACACACCTTTAACCACATCACTTGGGAGGCAGAGGCAGGCAAATAAATCTTTGTGAGTTGGAAGCCAGTATGTTCTATATACTGAATTCCAGGCCAGCCCACACTACATAATGAGACCCAGTCTCAAAAAACTGAGGGGGTAAGGGAAGGATGGATGGGGGAGAGAGAAAGAGAGAGAGAATCAAATTACTTACATTTTATACTGTGTAACCAGATTTTACATTTCTAATATTTATAAAGAATTTATATTTTACCTCAGCACTCAGTGAGTATAGCTGTAGGGTCAGTGAGATGATTAGGTAGCCAAAGGTGCCTCTCAGCAAGCATGACATCTGAGTTTGATCCCTGGCATCCCCAGGGTGGAAGGAGAGAGCCTACTCTGCAAGTTGTCCTTTGATGCATGTGTGTACCATGGTTCATAAGCACCCACACACATATGTAACACACACGAGACATAAATAAATGTAATAAAAATATTCCAGGTAGATGTAGAGTCAGGGCATCTAGAATCTCTGTTACTATCTTGGAAGTGAACTAAAAGGAGGAGAAAGACGAAACATTTTTTTAATAAAAGCTCATGAGAGAGTAAACTCTTACAGTGTACTGGAGAAGCCTTGGCCTTTGCCTGAACTTGCACCTGCACAGATCTTTAGTTCAACTGTGATCCCCACTCTCCTCATTTACAAGAGGGGGTATTTCCTATAGACAACTGTTGTGAGCTTTCAAGAGTCCATAGGGGTGAGGAGATTGTGTGATATTTTGGTTGCATTCTGACAATAAAGTTTGCTTTGGATCAGAGGGTAGTATCAGGTACTAGCTGACCAAAATTAACCAAAAGAACTAAATAAAGATAGACAGGAAGTAGTCGGGTGGGGCTTAGAGAGGGTTTCATCTCCTTTGGATGGAGAAATGACAGAGATAGGAGGTCACTGGTCACTTCTCCACTCCTTCTCTGATCTATTACCCTGATATCTGACTCCTGAGATTTTAATTGGTAAAGAGTAATTAGATAAACGCATCAGAATATAGACACTCATTCCTTCCAAAAGTGACTGGTATCCAGTCTTGGAAACCACACAGAAAGACTGGAAACAGGCCAGATGAAATTACAATACAAATCTGAAAAGAATTCAGAGGCGCAAACCTACCATCTGTAGTGCAAGACCCTTCTGGGGCTGGCTTTTGTGAGTAGGGAACTGGTGGGCTGTTTGAGTCAGACATTTCTTCTTCATCTTCATCATCTTCCATTTCATTAATTGCTATGTTGTTAGAAAAATCCAGGCTGCCATTTTGAGTGTAGCGGTGTGCTAGATCTTTATCTAGGTCTTCCACCTTGGGTTTGACATCTGAATAAGCAAAGAAATCAGTGCAAATTTGATTTTTAATAAGAATGTTTATGGAGAAAAGATTATAAGAGAAATTGAGAAAGTTATTTTTGGGGAGTGTAAGATTAGCATTTTTAACATTTGTTTGAGTTCCCAGGATTTGGAATTCCTGCTTCTTTGGAAAGGGGTCTAGAAATGCATGCAATTGAGAAACTTACCTGCAGATGAGAAAGGGTGTTGATCTGGGTCCAAGTAGAGCTGGGAAAAGATTGGCCGTGGCACAACACTACTGCATCTGAGCGAGGCCTCTATGGAATTGTGTAGAGCTTCCTCAAATCTAGCCGATTTCAGTTGCCCAGCATATGAATTCCCCATGGTCTGTACCAGCACATCCCAAAGAAGAAGAGAAAGTAAAAACACTGTGTTAGATGTTTATGTCCTAAAATTACAGGTGTGGGGCTGGAGAGATGACTTTGCTGTTAAGAGTACCGGTTGCTCTTGCAGAGGACCTGGGTTTGTTTCCTAGTACTCACATGGTGGCTCATAGCCATCTGTAGCTCCACAGCCAGGGAACCTGAGGCCCTCTTCTGGTCTCCATGGGCACTGCACATACATTCATGCAGGTAAAATACTCATATCCATAAAATAAAAATAATCAAAAAATTTTAAATTGATGTCTGGCAAATATAATCTATATTCATATAGTTATGTGAACTGTATAAAACGTATTCTTAAATCTAGCTGGCAAGATGGCTCAGTGGGTAAAGTTGGTTGCTGATACATGGAACTACATGATGAAAGATCCTCAGACCTCCACATGTATGCTGTGTCATACACACAGCAGCACACGGTACACATGCATGAGTGTGAGCGCATGCACACACACACACTTTAAAAAAGAAGAGAAAAAATTTGTATTAAAGAAAAAGAAATCTATTGCAAGTTACTTGTTACATCGCTTGTGATTTTGGTCTTTACCGTCAAGGTCCATGTCAGCTCCTTTAGAAGATCTCACAGTTCAATAGTAATAAATGTTCTAGATTCAACCTCAATTTCCCTGTAAGTTACAAAGCCTAGTCTGCTGAACAATGAGAACATAACTTTCACTTACAGTTGTGGTGTGGGACAATTGTCTATATTCTGTCAATTATATTTTAAATAAATGCTGATTGGCCAGTAGTCAGGCAGAAAGTATAGGTGGGACAACCAGACAGGAAGTGCAGGCGGGTCAATGAGAACAGGAATATTCTGGGAAGAAGGAAGCTCTTTTTGCAGTTGTGAGCCCACCACAGAAGAAGCACGATGTGACTGCCTCGCTGAAAAAGGTACCGAGCCATGTGACTAGCATAGACAAGAATATGTTTGAAGAAATAACTAATATAATATAAGTTATAAGAAATAATAATATAAGTTATAAGAGATAATAAGAAGCCTGAGCTAACAGGCCAATCAGTTTATAGTTAATGTAGACCACTGTGTGATTTCTTTGGGACTTAACAATTATGGAAACCAGGCCGGACAGAAAACTCAGACAGTTGGGCTCCCACAAGCATAGATCAACTCTTTCAGCAACTACAGAGTAAATATTTAACCACTGTTCCCTCTAAGGCCTAGTTCCCTAGGGGAGGAAAAGACTCCTGGAGAAACAAAATGAAAGTTCTATGATATGAGCCAATTTTCAAAATCAAGGTCTGTGTCACTTATCCCAAGAACTCATTTCTGGGATGTTACCCTTTATCTATGTAAAAATCATTGCTTCTTTTGTTTCATCTGAATGTCTTCTTCAGTATCCTTCAGTAAAGTGAACAAAATATGTTTGAAGTCAGAGCTTACATATACTTCTAACCACTAGTATTTGTGTAGTGCTCTGTAGCCACAAAAAAAGTTGTATAATAATGATAATAATCACAATTTACTGAGTGCTAACTAATGGTTTGACCAATAATTTCCAAATGGTCCAGGAGCCCCATCACCCTTTCAGTGGCCCATGAGGTAAAATAATGTCAGGGCTAGAGAGATGGTGGAGGGCTCTTGCACAGCGCCCACATGATGGCTGTAACCCTAGCTCCAGAGGCTTTGACACCTTCCTCTGGAAGGCAAATATGTAGTATGCAGACAAAATACTCAGACATATAAGATAAAATAAGCATTATTTTTTTCAAACTATGATTAGAAAATGTGTTTGCTTTATTTAAAAAAACACCCTATTCTTTCACATATATAAAACTGGAACTTTCTAGAATTTGAATAATGTGTGCTATTATAACTGACTGAAGATGCAGATAAATTACTATTGTATCTTTTCTTTGGGAAAAAAAAGTTATTTTGAAAAAGAGAAGGCAATGGAACACATATGACGTGAAAGCAGAAGGTCGGATGTTTATGGGGAAGAAGGAGGCCAGGCAGCAAGGGGCAGGAATGAGGATGAAGGAGAACAGTAGGGAGGGGTACAAAAAAGAACAGAGGGTCATGAAACACACAGACACACACACACTCAAAAAAGCCAAGCCATAATGAAACCCAGTACTTAGTATGCAAACCTGAAAAAGTCTTTTCTTTTTTCTTCTCTTTTTTTTCTTTTCTTTTCTTTCTTTCTTTTTTTTTTTTTGAGACAGGGTTTCTCTGTGTAGCCCTGGTTGTCCTGGAAATTGCTCTGTAGACCAGACTGGCCTCGAACTCACAGAGATTTTCTTACCTCTCTGCCTTCTGAGTGCTGGGATTAAAGGCGTGTACCACCACCACCCAATCTAACTTAAAAACTAATAAAAAGAAAAAATGTTCTTACACACACATACACACACACTATTTGTTAATATAGTGGTCAGTTTTAGTTTCTAGTGTGTATAACCTATGTAGACAGAACGTCAGTAGCTCCCAGGAATACCAAAGTGCTGAGGTCAAACGGTGAGAAGCGCTGGACTAGAGGTCTGAGGCAGTAGACTGAGTGCTGTATAAAAGTCAGTCACTCCTCGGGATTTTGGAGGAGGTATGACCTCTTTTCACTTAACAAACTAAAAACAAAAGCAAAGCAAGCTGGAGAGACGGCTCAGCTAAGAGCAGTTAAGTTAGGGTCCCAGCACACGTGTAGGGGGTTCTCCATAGCTGTCAATCTAGTTCTTGGGGATGTGATGAGTTTCTACCTCCCCTGACCCACCAGGGTCTCTCAGTTTTGTAGTTCTGACTCCTGAAACTCGCTCTATAGACCAGACTGGCTTCAAACGCCCATAGATCCACCTGCCTCTGCCTTCTAAATTCTGGGATTAAGGGTGTGTGCACTGTAACCAGCTTCTCTCATCTCAAGACAGATAATTTGATACTATTTTAGTTCTATTTCCTTCATTAAGGAGGGAGACAGATTTACTCTTCTCTGCAATGCTAACTTGGATAGACTCCTTGTGGGGAGAACCCGAAGAATGAACTGAGAGGTCCTGAGGAAAGGGAGCTATGATGCAGCAACTCCAAGTAACGCATAGTACAAGCCCAGTTTTACCTCAGACTATGCTGTTCCGGAGCTGCTGAAGTACAGCAGAGAAAGTACACAATTTCTGCAACCATAGTAGCGTGAAGTGTGGGCTCCAGTGTGGGTGAGCTTCCCAGAGCTTCTTAGATACTCCTATGATTTGGAGGACAAGCCAGGTACTATTTGGCAAATTTCCTTTTAAAAAATATTTTTATAAGGACAAGTTCAACAGATCCACCATATACGGGCTGCCCATTCATGTTTCCACTATATACGGGCTGCTCATGCGTGTTTCCACTATATATGGGCTGTCCATGTGTGTTTCCACTATATATGGGCTGCCCATGCGTGTTTCCACTATATTTGGGCTGCCCATGCGTGTTTCCACCATATATGGGCTGCCCATGCGTGTTTCAGCATTGTCGGGGCATAAATTTTAATTGTTGGTGTGTGAACATTTAATCTGCTTGTATGTACATTTACCACATGTGTACCTGGTGCCCCAGGATGTCAGTTCTGGAGCTGAAGTTACAGATGGTTGTGAATCACCATGTGCGTGCTGGGAATCAAACCCAGGTCCTCTGAAAGAACAGTCATTGTATTTAATTGCTGAGTTATCTCTTTAGAGCCAGCAACCTTTTTTATAGTAGCTAATAAAAACAATCTATTAATTTTTAATCCATTTCATTTTTAATAGAGAGGATTTGCCTAAAACATATAACATTTGGGTGGCATATATGCTATGCAATTAAAAATGGTAAGTGGAAGATAACCATCCTGTTAAATAAAACTTCTGTGAATCGCTTGAGTTTTTGACCAAGCCTTTATGATATCATATAAACATTAAACACTTTGTCTAAAGATCAGAGCAATTTGTTTGTTACTAGCAACACTTGATCAAAACAATATGGGTGTTGGGAGAGAAATGTGCTGTGTCACCAGTCTGTTTAGTCAAAAGTCAACAACTATAACAAGAGAAAACTACCAGGAATTTACACGATGCCAACCATGGGGATGTCTTCCCCAGGGTCGGTGAAGTAACTAAAGCCTTTCTCCAGAGCACAAGGCACCTGGAAGTCACATCTCCTCTCCGCCCACTGTCAGTCTAACAAATTATTTGATCTTGCATATCTTGGAAACCTACATTCTCCAGGAGGTATTTTCAGTTAAATAAAAAATTACATAATTTTTATGTTGTTTTTGGAGTGAGTGTTTTGCCTGAATGAATGTATGTGTACCACATGCATGCTTGGTGCTGGCAGAGGTCTGAAGGGGCCATTGGACCCCCTAGAATTGAGGTTACAGATGTCAGTGAACCCTAATGGCGGGTGACATCATGCTTTTAGCTACTGAGCTATCTCTCTACCCTCAAAGCACAAAATCTTAATTCTGTTCCCTGTTGACTTTTAAGAAGTAAATTACAAATTTATATACACAGGGACATGAATAAATGCTGTGAATGAAGACATTAAGTCAACATAGGAATGGGAACTGACCTCACCATCGTGTGCTCAAGCAGACACGAGTGGAAGTGAAGGCCCTGTTCAGACTTGGCACGAGAGGGAGCACATTTTAAAAGTATAAAGGGTGATAAAACCGACCCAAGACGTCTTTATCACTGAAAGTGGAGTTTTTCACACCTGAAAGCATGATGCTACTCAAAGACGGGTGGAATCCAAAGGAACCTTTACAGTGCAATAGATTACAAATACCAAACGCAATACGTATATATGTCACTGAAATTATTGGCATTCATCTCTAACTTGGGACCCCAATGTCTGAGATGAGGGGACATTTGATGGAATGTTACAAGGGAATAAATGACTTCAGTTAGAAAATGAAGAAACACTTTGCAAATTAGTCATTAAGTAAAATGCAACAAGAAAGCAATCATGACATTGATATTCATATTACAGGC